ACTGTTTGTGAACCGCTGTGAGTCGCCTTCGGGCTTGAGATACAACGGTATATAAGCAAAGTAAATAAATAATAAATAAATATAAGTGTAAATGAAGATGCCAAATATGAATATTCATCCAATAGTCATACCATCTTCTTGAAATATAAGAATTTCAGCAAAATGGAAACAGATTTTGGAATTTAATCACAGAGAGGCAGGGAACACAGCAAGCCAAAAGAAATATACTATAATATATGGGGACAAAAGGATTATGATTCATTTTTTAAACGTATCTTTTTTGGACCATTGAGTCTCTAGGCATGAGGCCTACAACTTATAGATGCAATTACAGACTGGAGAAACTGTTAAACCTGTTACTCTGAAGGCTTTCTGTAGGCCCACCATAAAAGCTCACATGTTGAGAATATGAGAAAGCCTTCTCAGTGGCTGCCCCCCATCTGAAACCCCCTCCCTACTGTCCTTTCGCCACCTTACAAAATTATTTTTGTTTAAGCAGACTTTTAACATGTAAGCAAGGGAGGCATTTATATTTTTAAACTTTTATATGTTTTTTTTAAATATATAATTTGAGGTAATTGTTTTTACATTTTATTGTGGCCGGTTTTAAATTTAATCTCTCTGGGAATCACTGTGGGTCCCACTCTGGGAGAAAAATGATGTACAAATGAAATACACACATAGTCAGAATCAAAACCAGCATAACAACAAGAGCAACTGGGTCAAAAGATAGTATGATACCATCTTCCTCTGAAGTGAAGCTGTGAACATTATTTGAAAAAGGACCTTTCACTTACATTTCATGCATAATACAGTATGTGAATTTATATTAGGCTAGAAAGGGACATATAGAATGAAATGTTAACATTTGAATTATTCAGTGAAAAAAGAAACTGAAATGTTTGTTGTGAAGGCCAGAAACAGGCAGCTTCATCCCGAATAATCATTTTAACACACTGTGCTCATTGGAAAAGCAAGAGCTACAACTTTATTGATTACAACTAACAATATAGCTTGAGGAAGTCACATATGGGTCCTGGATCTCAACATTGACCAACCACCAGATTGATGAGGCTGATGTTCCAGACCAATTCGGAACCTATGGTATGGCATGAGGGAAAGACCAGGAGGCATGGTGCATGCTTCACCTTCTTCCTCTGCTACCAGGGGATGTCACAGAGCTTCCATCCCACTTCCAATTCAGAATAACCTCA